TACGCTATGTCATGGTCTGACCTCCGCGGTGCTTCTTCCAACCTTGCCCAGCACGTGCAAAGAGAGCACGGAGAATAGCTAATCCATTCCGTCCGAATGGAGTCTGGCGGATGTCATAACTGTTTTCAAGAAGGGTCCCCCGCCACGATTGCTCCAATCACCGAGGGATTAGTCTTATCTCCGTTGCATCTAAGGTGTTAACATCGTTGCTCCTTCGCAGGCTCAGTTGGATGAATAATAAGCTAGATTCCCCTCTGACCGTAGCTGTGTTGATCAAATATTTACGCCACGTCAGATTCTCGAGCATATTAGTAGACCTACCATTATTGTTTTTTGGACATCCGTGCTGCGTTTGATTCAGTTGACGGAGCGGCTCTCTGGGCTTGTCTGTTAGGAAGCAGTGTGCCTGAGAAGTACGTAAACCTTTTCAAAGCCGTCAACTCAAAACCATCGGGCCGCGTCAAGGTCTATGATTGCATCTGCCCTTCATTTACCATTGCAATTGGAGTGGACGCGATCTCAGTGTCATCTTGAAAGGTCGCGTTTACAATGCCACAATACGCAGTGTCTGACTCTAATGCTGCGAGAGTTGACCCCTCCGCACACAAGATATACGGAGACTAAGTGTATTTAGCCACTTTGGCCCTCTTTGCATCGCCAGAATACGTTGGCACCAGTGAATCACCAACGACAAGGTTCGCTGAAGAATGTTCGCCTCAGACAATCTCAATCGTCCTCTGAGTTCCATCATCTGGCTTCAGAGACTTCATCGCAGGGACATGTGTTACGGATGCCGACCCAACGACTGCCCCATCGTGTTGTTTGCGCAAGCAGACACTAATTTGAATGGTCGAGAAGGTGGACAATGAATAAACTGAGCTCGAACGATGAAGACGCTAACCTCAAAACTGGCCGTGGTAGGACGCTCTAGACTCCCAGGTTGGGGTCCCAAGGGCAGCGAACGTCTATGGCTTGAGACACTCACAGAAATGGCCGGTAACTATCGTCAATGGTACACCTGTTGCGAGACTTACTCCTCGATTTATATTTTCAAGTCTCTTTCTTCATATGGTGTGGCACATTTACCAATTCTATGTAATCGGCTATGTGTTATATATATACTACTTATTATGAAATATATATCCTGTTATCGATTCGTCAGAGCAAAAATAACGCAATTCAAGTGGATTGTCGTTGGATGTCGAAATGCTTTTTCGAGCTGTAAACAACTGTAGTGGTTCAAAGTCGTTCGCCGATGGAGAAGAATTGAAAGAAATTGATGCTACCCCATAGCAACCAAATTTTTGATAATACCGATACAAACAAGTCCGCGACACAGATTTTATATTGGGTTGTAGCCAGAAATAGTCGGTAAACTCAATGTGTATAGAACACAAACACAAGTGATGCCTAACGAGTAAGGTCATGTTATTCATTGGTCAATATCTTGCCGCTTTCTGCTATTCCATCGCTTTACCTTTTCCCGTCTTTGTTTCTTAGGCACTAGTGGAAACGGGTAATGAAGATTTGTGCTACTACAACTTTGAGTGTGCTCGGCCTTTGGGAATCTTCACCGCGTTCAACAACATCATCTCCAACGTGGGCTACGTTATGCTCGGTCTACTGTTCCTGGCCCTGACTGCTAGAAGGTGAGCGAATGTGTCCTTATTTGTTTTACATATTGTTCCTGCCAGATTCACCAATCTGGTGGGGTAGCCGGACGAGCAATGCTGAGGCCAGGTACAAAGTTTTAGGTAACCGCGGTCACCAACTAGAGCAATTGGTCGACCTCTATAGTTTACACTGGTTGGGGCATGTGTCACGCATGTCACCAAATAGGTTGCCACGGCGAGCGATTTTTCCGAGGCAGGAAGTGGGTCGAATAAAGCCCAAGGTGGTCAAGCTAAGACCTGGCATGAGAGTATGAAAACCCTAACCAGGAGTCTGAGTCACATAGGTCCCGTTAGGTTCCCTGGCTGGGAACCTCGGGGTGGTCGTACCCGACTGTTAGAGACACTGAGTGATATGACTGGGTGTCCTAAACAGTGACCTTCGTGCATCTCAATTTCCTCGCAACATCAGACCACTAAAATTCTCCATTTTCTTTTCGACTCTGCTTTCAACTTTTCTGTCTTCTCCTATTATTCATCCAAATGGGCAGCCAAAAGACAGCAACTAAAACCGGCGCACGATAGTGCATGGTTAATGGTTGTACAAACTGGAAGTGAAACTTCTGCTAGATTCTCGGATTATTGCTTCGCTTTTTCCTCTACCTCACCCAACTTTTATCCGTCTATTTCGCGGTATGTCTTCCTCTTTTGTCCTCTTCTGGGCACAATCATAATATTCCGACATCTCTATCATACTCGTATGCTGTAAATTATGATCTCTGGCACAACACAAACCTCAACTGCAGCTTTAATTTGGGAGTTGCAATCGTCAACGACTTGTATGTGGTCCGTAAAACCTCCAGTATTTACTTAGAGACGGTGAATGTTAGTCTTATGTTGAACACGTAAGTTGCTGTTTCTACGTATGTGTTTATGTATATCTTCCGCTATTAACAACCATCGTGCAAATTCTGCTATAACGATAACTATCTGAGCGATCCGAATTTCGGTCTGATTATCGTTTTTGTCATTCAATTATTGTCCTCAAGTTTGCATTGCACAATTTCCAACGTTTCAGATTCACACTACTGAACTGTTCCGCCAGTCATCATTTAGTAACCTTTCCAATTCCTGCTGATTGATTTCGATTTACCTCCCAAATTTCAGTTGTATGGCTCTTTATTGTTCTACTATCTATGGGCCATTCAGTCTTGTGGTTCCCAGAAAAAATAATTACTCACGTTGATTTTTTGTTAAGAGAGTGATGGGGGAATTTAATGCAGGAAATTCATTTTCCCATTATTGGGGAGCGCGAACATTTCTGTGTTGTTGTTGAAATCTCTCACTCCGCATCTCTCCACAGGGATTTGATTCACCGAAAGGCGCTCAAATGTGAACCGTTACAGACACAGGTTAGTCCTTTGGCTTGTTCTCCCCAGTTTCTCTAAATTTATATATGGAAGTGCATATCCGCTCCATATTGGTTTGGTAACAGCATTGAACACCGAACCTTATTCTTCGCAGCATACCACAATCTTATTTTTTTATTTACGTATGCCTAGTTCCAGAACATTTAATTATTTCGCCCAAAGCGACTAGATAAATAGATAGATGGATAGATAGATGGATAGATGGATAGATAGATAGATAGATAGATAGATAGATAGATAGATAGATAGATAGATAGATAGATAGATGGATGGAT